GGTTCGGCGGGGGTCAGCGTGTGATTTATGAATCGATGGAACGCATCGAGAGCGCCGTCCCCCCACCCTCGCCGCATCCATCTCTCTGTCCGGCTGTGCCTGTATGTAGCTGCCGGGCTTCTTACGTGGTGCGCCGCTCTCATATATCTAGAACTATGCCCCTCTCACTCTTTCCTTCTTTCCACGTCTGAGCCTGTTGCGGCGCCCGCAGCGTTGCTTACGCGGATTGCCTTTCTCCTTCCTGCTCGCGTTAGAAATAATTTGTGCCGATATGGCAGCCCGCCTGCTTCCATGTACGCTCTCCTTTCACGCGTGCCATCTTTCTCTCTCTCTCGCGTGTACGTCTGCGCGTGTCGATACCGCGCATCACGAGCTCACCTGGCGTTAGCAGAGCCCTGCTACGTCGGCCCAACCTCTTTCTGCTTGTTTATTTTCTTTTTTCTCTCCGTGTTGCTCTTATTCAATAACTCGTTCTCGAGCAGCGTAATCGATGACCGCCGCCGATCGCCGCGCAGCGGGCATCGTTTTACCGCGTCTTATCGTTCGCTTCAAGCTGGCTATCACACGCTCGAAAAAGGATACGCGTGTTTGTTGTAATTATGCATATGTACATGGCGCCTCGCCGTAGTTCTATTGAAAGGGCCGGCTGGCACTGTCCCGGCGGTTAGTGTAAGGTAGAAATCAAGAGATGGATGTGTGGAGCCCCCACGCGGAGTGCCAGCGTAACACTGGCGACTGTTGAACTGCGTCATATTGCTCGCATGGATGAACACTTAGAAAGAACCCACCACGCAGCTTTGTTCGGACATACAAGCTGGAGCATTTTTTTTTTTTGTTCTATGAACGTGTCTTCCCATTAGCGATTGGATTCACCATTAATGCGTTTCGCATAAGTCTGACTGATTTTGTTACCAATGTTTACCAATATGTCTTGGTTGCAATCTATATACAAGGTTCAGAACATTTTGTACCTCCAACTCTGTGCCGATTTCGGGCATTTCGTACTCGCATTGCGATCCGCAAAACGTACGTGCAATCCTTCCAGACAATGTCAACAATGTGCACTGGCAGGAAGCTTTGTGCTTTTTGCAGTTGTTAACACACAGTGTGTTATGGAATAGCTGCGGAACCGCTTTTGAAAGCGGCCGTGCCTGCTGCCCTTCCGTCATGCGCCTCCCTCGAACTTTTGCCATTTAAAGTGTATAGTACGCTCGGTCCTTTAGGGAAGCTTTTATAATATACCCGTGCACAAAATATTCTATCGCTGCCTCGTGCCATCCCCACCCGTTTGTACTGCGTGCGTAGCATGGTAGCCCTCCTAAGAAAAAAAAAGAAAACAAAAAAAAGACGAAGACGATCGAATATGCATGGCTGTTGCGGAGTTGCCGAGTTCGAACCAGTTCGGAACCATTTGTCTAAAGGCGAGGCGCAGTTGCGTAGAACGGCGCTCTTTCTAAACACACCGCCGAATCTTATATAAAGGTGCGGCGAGTGGAGAACAACGGCCCCTGTACGCACTACACTTATACAGACAAGCGATGGCTCGTTCCCGAGCTTTTTAAGCGCTTTGCGAGCGCATTTGTCACGTCCCGAGCCAGAGGATAGTTTTGGTCTCCACCGTCGCAACCTCCCGAGGCGATGGCGGCTCGCACAGCGGCGTCCTTTCAGGGCAGCACCCCATAGAGGTCCCATTGCTCACGGTAATGAACATTTGTGCCTCATGACAGGGACGCCGCGGCATCATTAGTTATACGGGCGCGATACGCGTGCCCCGTAGTGCACGCTGTCTTTTTTTCCCCCCTCTTATGTGTAGAACCTCTTATGTGTTTTTCTCTTATGTGTAGACGTAGAACCCGTACGTGCTGCTTCCTCGCTTCTTCCGTGCTCCGTCAAAAGGGACAACGCGGAGACCCGTATTCCTCTTCTCTCGTTAATCGCTTGAGCGAGACGAGAGTGCTCACGATGGACTCGGTTTCGTTTTCCAATGCCTCAAGAGGGCTGTGACTACACTTGCTCGGTCTGTGGTGGTAATAGAGCTGTGGCGGCAATAGAACTAATACAGTGAGCGATTATGTAGTCGCGTCGTCGTATCGACAATGGAAATAAATAAAAAACCTAAGCATTGTATAGGGAGCATTGTATGGGGAGCGCCCATACAATTACGGCGGGGCGTCAACAGAATGACAACCAGTTTATGGTGATGATTAAAAAAAAAGATCGCATGCAGATAATATGCAGGGCATCCTTTACGAACTTCGCAAATGGGTTATGGTATAGTGTACTGTGTTGTAAGCTATATATATGATAATGACAGAATAACGTGATCTGTGTATGCTATAAACAAAAAAAAAGGAGTCTTGATACTCATGATCAAAATACGAAAAGAAAGATGGGGAGAATAGCTTTTGAAAGACAGCCAGAGCTTTCCGGATACTAAATATTACAAATGTATACTATGCTATACTGAAGTAAGGCACGCACCTAAGCGTAATTGTTTCACCAAGAGACTTTGCACTGTAGGTAAATGTCTTTACTGTGGCTCACGTAACAGTGAAATTCTTTCTACTTGCTCAGCATAGTACACCGAATATAATGCCCGTGATTTCTTTCTTTCTTGTCCTCGAAAAAAGAAGGAGGTGCTGAACGTTCTCCTAGGCCTAATTGGCTGCTCCCTCGAAAAAAAAAAAAAGAACTTGGACCATCTCCCCGAAGGGAACCCTGATTGGATGTGAAGCACCAGTGTTGCGCACGGGTGACATCACGGGTTGCACGGCGCTACTGCGGTGAGCTCTGGAAGATTCGTTTGAAGCGATGGCTGGCGTAGGTCTTGTAGGTGACACGTACACACATGTTTCAACGCGTACGTTAGGCGCGCGTCACGTTTATTGTGCGTGAACCGACGAGTCGGTAGCTGCGGGCGCCGTGGCGAGCGCGTGGCAGGCGAGGGAGAGAGTGACGTCAGCGCAAACTGCGAGGGGAACGTGACGTCAACGTGCAGCTGTGGCGTGACCTACTTGGCACCTTGCCAACACCTTCGGCGTGCGGCGCGTTCTTACGGAGGGTCAGCGTTACACAGGCCAGTAAAAGATCATGTCTTCATCTAGAAATTAAAAGTAATGATAAGTAATGACAACTTTGTGCTGATAAGGATGCACACCTGTATCAACTGCAATGCAGATCCTTGTGGTGGAAGATCCGTAAGGAGGAAAGGAAGACAAAAAAATTAGGATATAAAATAAGTAAAGTGGGAAAGGTGCATAAACGACCTATATATGGTTCTACAACTTCTATTCTTTACAGCAATGACACGGCTGAAAAGAAAGAAAGAAACGTGGAAAGAATTAACGCAGGAGGGTCCATGCGTGCCTCATTAAAACCCAGATCAGAGTTCATAATCCGTATTGAGCCCTCCTGAAAATAAATTACTATTAAACTTTCTTGCACTTCCGCTCACCTTCTTCCGGGCTCATCACTGCGTCGTATTTCCGCGTTTCCTAGTTCCTTTTTTTTTACCATCAAGTTCCACTTGGAAGCGTAATCTGGGATCTAGACTGAGATCGACTGACTAAATTCGCAGGTTTCTTGAAAAGCATTCGTTTTGTTTCTGTTGTTTCTCGTCACTTTCTCATATTCTTAATTTGCCTCTGAAAATCTGGATAACCGAACACGCGCTGAAGTTTCTGTTGGTTTTATCCCGTTGTACATGTTTAGAATGTTTCAATCTGGCAAAAAAATAAAAAAAGGAGAGAAAATACTTGAACTGCAGAGGATTAAGGACTGCATTCGTTTGCGCACTAGTCCGCCGCAGAGAGATTTAAATAATAATATGGAAAGCGGTGTGGATCTGTCTCGCGACGCTACACAGGGGTAGAATGCGCTTCGAACCGTGCCTGATTTTCGCAAGGCTCGCGATCAATTTCGGTCACTGTGTAATGATATCGGCGCCCGATTTGTTTCAACACTTTTATTCCCGTTCGTTCGATAGCCTGTCCAATACTGGACATGAGCAATGCATTGTCTGTAACTTCAGCGATTGCACGTCGATCGATAGTGCGGTTGGTTCGATATTGAGTCTGAAATCGACTTCGGTGTATATGAAAGAGACAAAGGAATGAAGTTGAAAGAGGGAGAAGGTTTGAGTGCACCGCTAAACTTTCTTCTTTTTTTTTTTCGCGGTAATGGGTACGTTTGTCAATGTCTTGAAACCTGGCCCGTTTAAGATGGCCTTAGATTGTCGTATAGGTTAGTCAGGGGGAGAGGAGGTTGTGAAGTGATTCTCAGTGCGCACTAAACACACCCGTGTGTGGGGAGGATATCAATATGTTCTCTTTTTCAGAAGCCCTTATAGCCTATTATACACGTTAAAAATAAAACACTGTTTTGAAAGCGCGTACAAATGGGTCTAAAGGCCTGACCACATGCGTCCGTTGCAGCGCGTCAGCGCGGGCCTTCTTGACGCGTCGCTGTGCCCTCCCCTTCAGAGAGAGAGAGAGAGAGGGCGCGTGGCTGCTCGAAGCATCTAGGTGCGACGCCGAGGGCTTGACGCCGCGTCATAAGGCCCCTCGCTGAAGCGCTGCAGTGGATGCGTATGGTCAGGCCTTTACGTTGGGATAGTCCACAGTGTACGACGCATGACCGTCGAATCAAGGAAACTAAAAAAAAGCTCCTTGCGTGTGATGACGTGTCGAAAATACAATTATCACCTTGTGCCTTAAGTGCACTGCATAGGAGCCGCTTTATCATGACATGGTCAGGCCCATTATGGCCTTTACAAAGTCCTTGTTTAGAAAATTTGAAGTGTCTGTGGTGACGATTATGTTTGTGCGGCCTACTGCGTTATTCTGCAACTTTTGCATAAATGTCAGCATCCGCCTATTCCACCCGTGGTTGACTTAAGTTAGTGTATACTTAATTAAAGTGAAGCTTGGCTGGCGCTGACGTCCGAGTCCGTTCTTACGTCTACTAAAGGCTTCGCATGCTTTTCTTTTCTTCACCTTCAGCTGGAAGCTGGGCCGTGGAGGTGACGTTCCGGGTCACCAATCGCAACTACTCTCCGGATCTGGTGGATCACTCCAGCAGGGTCTTCAAGTCACTCGCCTCCGAAGTGGCGCGAGCG